ACCAGTATGTATATATATATATATATATATATATTGCTTTGAAAAGTCTCTAATGCTTAGCAAGGACGTATTTATTTGATCAAAAACACAGTAAAAACAGTAATATTGTGAAATATTATTTAATTTATTATTAAAAATGTATTATTATTTAAAATAACTGTTTTCTGTTTTAATATATTTAAAAATGTAATTTATTCCTGTGATGACAATTTAGAATTTTCAGCATCATTACTCTAGTCTTTTTGTTAGATACTTTTTTTTCTTACTGACCCCAAACGTATATAATATTATTTTACATGTATTTAGTCAAAATAGTATAGAATTTTAATTAATTTTTTATTTTAATTGAGCATAACATGAATAATAGTAATTATTGGTTTATCAATATCTGCCATAATTTTAATATTCTGTATATTCATTCTTCAAATAATAGTTTTGAATATAATTATTAATATATAATATAATTCATGACAAGTTCTAAACTTACAGAACATGAATCTGTTTGCACTTTAACATGATTTTTTTGTTCTCATGTCTTTTACAGGCTCGGCTTCAGCGCACGCCCTCCAGCACATCAGAGGACTCCCTAAAGCTCCAGAGCGGCAGCTCCATAGAGCGAGAGATCTGGGAGGGCGACTTATCGTCCAGCCCCAGGAAGAACTCTCTGTCCAGGATGGACTCCAAACAGAAGGGCCGCAGCCTCTTCTCCCTGGGTGGCAAAACTCAGAGTTTAGAAGGCCAAAACCAGATCCCCACACGACTGCTTCAGCTGGTTTCATCCAAGGAGAAGAAGGACAAAAAGAAGAAGAAGAGCAAGAGCCAGCTTCCTCAGGATGCAGGTAAACACAGTGAACTCACACACACACTAATTCAATAGAGATAATGATAAAGAATTGATTCAATTAGCCTGCAAACCACAACCGCTGTATCCGTTCTGACTGGAATTGGTAATTTGCACATACTGTATAGACGCTGGCTTATCTGAGTTGTGTGTTATGTATTAATCTCAGATGTTCATTACGCTGAGAAAGATGCCTATTTATTGTGGTTCAGTGTGGATGAATCTTCAGCTTAAATCTTGCTGTGTTTTGTCTTCAGCATCACATCTGCTGCCCGTGACAGAGCCTTCAATGGACGGAGATATCTTCTTCTGCTGATTTACCCATCATCCCTTCTGTCCACATCATTGCCTCTCATGGACTCTCTATCAAATCATGTAGGAAATCACCCAAAGTGCCCTCTACATGTTTCGGCAATCTTTCTACAATATAATAAATCTCACAAAACATGTCCAGGTCGCATTACACCACAAAATCAAAAGAAAATTAAGAAATCATATTTTGCCTAACCCAAATCAGTCCTATTTTAGGATTGTTTTTATTTTTTGTGACATTATTTTAATAACAATTTAGCCCCCAAATTCTCATTACCGTAATGTATAAATAGTGGTAATATATGATTTCAATTGTAAAGTATTTATATACTACGGTAAATGTTTTTGTACTGCTTTTAAATATTGTTTTATTACAGTAGTTTGTGCTGTAATAAAGTTTGCTCTATCACAGTAATGAAAATCACCATTTAGAATAATAATAATTATTAATTATTATTCCAAAAAAGCTCATGATGCAAAAATGGTAATGGAAATGGTGCGTCCCAAATCGCGTACTTATGCACTATTCTATGACGTTTTGTAGTATAAATAGTGTGAGTAGTGTGTTCACACCTAAAATTCCAAAAAGTAAAAAGTGCACTTTAAATACCCGGATGATGCACTTAAATAATCAAAAAAACGAAGTGTGGAATGTTGAACACTTCATGCACTCAACTGTGGCAGCTTTAATTATGTAGTGAAGGGGGAGGGGCTATCAGACTCCGTTTATGAATGACAAAATAACCTTATATAATTCATACACTACATGGTTGAGTGCATAGTGTATAGTGAGTCATTTGGGACACAGCTTTAGATTTGCACTTGCTTTTACATGTTTATCAGACAAATCCCATCTTTAAATACGTTGTTAAAATGTACATTGTATATAAATTTCACTTACTGCACTCATTTACAAATGAATTGTGCCACCAAAACTTTTAAAATTGCAAAAATGGGGTTTGCTGCTCCCCATGTTGGCCAACTTTTTTAGGCTGAAAAATCATTTCGGCTCATTGCGCACAAGAATGACCATTTAAAATTTGATCACAGTTTTAACATTTAAAGGGATTCGGGGTGAGAGGTGGTTTTCCATATTCCCCATGTTTTCTATGTTAGCTTCTCGAAGGACTCCCGTCTTTGAAATGCCACCGAGCACTTTAACACCATTCACACGTTACCCTTGCCCCGAAAATGACAATCAATTTTTCAATAGCATTCCAAAGATAAAGCCCTAAGGACAGAGCTTTTGGGGGCCATTGTTTAACATACCATGGCATTTCATGCTAGTTTGAGATTCTCTAATCCTTCTGCGTTGAATACTTCATGACTTTAGCAGGACGGATGAGCTGTAAATACTGTATGAACTGTAGACCCCTGAGGGATATTTAAAGCAACCTGCTGGACAGGTAAAAGAGATAAACATCCACGAAAGATAGTGTACCTCACCTATACATCCACCCTTATGGATCAAAGCACCATATCATATCTGAATATCTGTAATAATGCATTTAACACCCTGTTTTGGCACTCAGAGTGTCCACTTATTTCATCATGCATGAATATCCACATTACAGTCCTACAGGATTTTGTTCTGTTGGCCTGATTTTGTTAGGAGTTATTTATTGGTCCATGAGATTTTTAATTTAATTTTTTTTAAGCAGTACATGCTCCTAAAGTTCCATTTGTGCAGGTTTGCGTTGCAGTTTTCACCTGCGCTGACTTGATTCCACCATGAGGGGGCAGAAGAGAAGCGTTTTATAATTGAAGGCTCCTCTGTGGATTTCCATAACCTCTCAGTGATGATGTCAGAGGAGACACAGTGACACATGCACAAAGGGAATCATTGGTTCATCATTTAAGGAGAACTGTGCCTATGGCCTTACAGAACTGTCAGCGACACTTTTGTCCTCAGGAACAAACAGGGAAAACTCGATCCAGGCGGTGTAGTGTTGCCGTGTCTCATGCGCAAACGAAAACTGAAGTTGCTCAGCCTTAAAGAAATCATGGTGTGTGCTAAAATATAATCCAGCATTCTCTCAGGAGTTTAGGTTTGTTTATTCATCTGTGTTTTGAAAGTAAGGTATCATTTGTACATTGAGGTACATATGTTCTCTTGCTTAAAAAAAAAAAAGGAAGAACTAATGTTATGTAAATATTTTGTGTTTAATATGTTTAAATGTAAAATTTTGTTTAATTTGTGATTTATTTTGTAAGATGTGTTTTGTGAGATGTAAGGCTTTATTTATCATTGATCCCCTTGTCTTGAAGCAGAAGACAATATTTCCTCACATTAAAAGCTATTGCAATTGTTTTGGCTTGTATTGTGTGTGTGTGTGTGTGTTTCCCCTCTTGTTTTTAATCTGTCCATTGAACTGCAGGTTATTGTTTCATTCAAATTCACTGGACGATCCAGGCGGTGTAGTGTTGCCGTGTCTCATGCGCAAACGAAAACTGAAGTTGCTCAGCCTTAAAGAAATCATGGTGTGTGCTAAAATATAATCCAGCATTCTCTCAGGAGTTTAGGTTTGTTTATTCATCTGTGTTTTGAAAGTAAGGTATCATTTGTACATTGAGGTACATATGTTCTCTTGCTTAAAAAAAAAAAAGGAAGAACTAATGTTATGTAAATATTTTGTGTTTAATATGTTTAAATGTAAAATTTTGTTTAATTTGTGATTTATTTTGTAAGATGTGTTTTGTGAGATGTAAGGCTTTATTTATCATTGATCCCCTTGTCTTGAAGCAGAAGACAATATTTCCTCACATTAAAAGCTATTGCAATTGTTTTGGCTTGTATTGTATTGTGTGTGTGTGTGTGTGTTTCCCCTCTTGTTTTTAATCTGTCCATTGAACTGCAGGTTATTGTGTTTCATTCAAATTCACTGGACAAACAGATCAAGGTTACCTTTTCCTTTTAAAAAGATTAAAGCATTTATTTAAGAAATTGCCACTGCATGAAGAATCACATATAAGCAGAACCTTTGATCTTCATGCAGTCTGCACTATGACTCCACTACTAACCTCTCATTGATGGACAGAGATTAGAAGTGGGTCATTTCTACTCTTCATGTCCCTCATCATCATCATCACATGTCTTAATATACTGGAAAACATATTAAACTCAATCTCAAAGAATTCGTATCAGTTTCGCAATTAAGAGGACACGGATGAATTTAGGTTTCATCCATTTTTGCCAACTTTTGACCAATTTATTGAGACAAATCAAGGTGTTTCTTAATGTTTACTAAGATAACATGGGGAAATATAATACAAATACTAAAACGGACACAAGGGAAACACTGGGATTTGTTTCAAATATAGTAATATTTAAGCAATATTAAGGTTTTCGTTTTATTTACTCCAGAGGTTTAATGTCATTATAATGAAAAAGCTGTCTTTGCGGCTAAAAATGATTTGTAACATTGGCAGAATAAAAAATATGAGATCCAAGTTCAGGCCAAAATTGTTTGAATACACGGACTGCACACCTCAACAGTTCCATAGTCCTCATCATCCAGGAAGTGACATCCTTTTGGAGGGAAACCCACCTGGTAAATAAAATGCACCTTAGTATCGATATTTTTGTTTGAGTATCGATACTTTCGATACTCGCGTCAGTATCGATATATCGATACTTTGTATCGATACGCCCATCCCTAGTACAAACAAACATCAGTGAGTATTAGCAGCTGAGTTCTGTGGTAAGAGCTGGTTTGTTTCAGTCTAAACAATTTGATGCAGTTTGTTTGATAAGTCATTGTTATATCAGTATTTCAGAAGATATTAAAATCAAGCATCCGCATGTTGGTTAACTTTTAGCAGTGGTTCATTTCAGCTAGTAATGAAAGAACAAAGCTTTTCCGAATAATGTGAACAAATTGCTTTGTAAAACGATTCACCTTTTCGTGAAGCACTTGAAACACCACAGGCTGGCGGCACCTGCTGTTGGTCAAAACGATGTAAATGTAACAAAAAGCATGTATAATGACACCTTTTACAAACGTAACAAAATAGGAAGACTCGTTTACTGAAATCAATCACGTGATACGAGTTTGACACAAGCCCCGAACTACTCCAAACATAAGATTCGTATGTTCGAAGATTACAGGTTTGTTTTCTTAATACACTCGTAAGACCCATTACTTAATTCTTGGTCTTTTTCCATTGCGTTGGCACAAAATACATTAAATGACATTACGAATAACATGATTTCACTCAGATACAACAATCACCAAAATCCAATGTACCTACAGGCCAATTCGGACATGTTTACGTACTCCTTTTCAAACAAAACTCAATAAGACAGCAATCTGCTACAGGTAAATTGAATTTATGAATGAGCTGCTGGTTTTAAAATCTTGCCGATCTACTGACATTTGTTATGACATTCTTCTTAGAACCTTACAATGCACATGATAACTTTAGTTTTCAATAAGTAAATCCACTTCACCAGCTAATTCATCAGCGATGCTATCCCTGATGTCAAATAGACGTTTAGAAAATGTCTTTAAGACGTTTATGATTTAGAGAGTGTATGTAAAACTCACAAATTGACAAAGTTTGTTGGGTGACAACCTTTGCTAGTGATATAGATCTTGTTTTGAGACCTGTATGGTAAGTATTTTGGTAGTTTTAGTGCATTTTGGATGTGAAATTTACTGCTGTGCCAAGCTTGAACGTTGGAGACTGCTTGAAGAGTTTTGAAAAAATGACCATAGTATTGAGAAATGTGTTCTTGCATAAAGAAGCAACGTTTCAAAAGCGCCCATCACTAGCTCTATTTCTAACCTGTTTATTTTTTTTTCACTGACCAGAGCATATTTCTGGAAATATGTGTCCTTTAGAAATACTTAATTACATGACAGCACATGCATATATTCAAGCATATTTTCAAGGTGTTGCATAACAGGATTGAGCCCGATCTGTGAACTGATGTCCTGTGATTAGCACTGACATTCATATGATTAATGCATTGATGGTGTGTAAATGCTCTGTCCTGTGTTTCTCTATTAGCTCCATTGCAGTGATGCTGGTTGCCAACTGTTGGTTGCAGTGCTGTGAAACCTGTTGCTAAGGTA